AAAAAAAAAAAAAAAAAAAAAAAAAAAAAAGCAGTTTCAGTGGACAAACCCAGCTCCGAGCAGTTTAGACAAGGAAGAAGTTAAGTAGAAGTGAAAAATCAAGAACGGACTGGGTTTGGTCAAAACTTTATCTAGTGGTTTCACAGCAGTGGGAGCAGGATCTAGTTTCTCTGCTTCTTGGTGTCAGCCTTACTTCTATCTCAGAGTTGGCTCAGGGTTGGTCACGGGTGCCAGTCCTCTCTCCATTGTGGTCTGTGAGATTAAGTGCCTGGGAGCAGTCTTTTGCTAGGAGCCTCTTTATCTCTGCCCTGTAGGAAACCCAGTGGAGCGTGTTATTCCTTATTCAGACCAGCCATGGGGTTTGTCCTGATTGAATTCTTTCCTACTTTGGGCTACATGGGGGATCCTGTTGACTTGACTTAGGCCTGAACCACATTCCTTGCCCTTAGAGGAGTTACTTAGGCAAGCGTGGACTCTGGGGGCTGGTGTGAAGCAAAACCTGGGGGAAGTGTTTGGTCAGATACAGCCAATGGTTGTCTTCTCATTGTAGGTTTTGATAACATGGTAGAAGAGAATAACCCTAAAACTATGTTGCTACAAAACTAAGAAAATGGAATAAAACATTTTACAGATGTATAGCTGAACTTGTAGAGGGGAAAAAAATAATGGAAGTGCCCTAGCATTGTGTCTATCCTGGAGGGATTTGCTGTTCGTGGATTTTGACAACTCATATGGGGACAGACTATAATGCTTAGGATAATGGTGGGGAACCTATGGCACACATGTTATTGTGTTTCTCTGAAACAAAAGATGTAACTGTAGAGGTTTTTTTCTTAAGTTAAAACGTCAGTATTCAGTGCAATGTTGGCACTTTGTGATAAATAAATGGGCTTTGGGTTGCATTTTGGCACTTGGTCTCCAGAAGGTTCTCCGTCACTGGACAAGGGCCTTGCGAGACAGGGAGTAGGAGTGGGCCCTTTTGTCTGATCTCTCGAGAGTGATCCTCCCTGTGAAGACTGAGGAGTTTATGTATGAGCCCTCTGAGAAAGCTTCTTCTATATGGCTTCTGAGAAGGAGGAAGTATTCTCTAAGCATTTATAGCCCTCAGGGATATTTGGGGCTCTTGTTTACATTATTTACTTCTTAGGGGGATACAACAGTTGAGAAACATAAAACAGTTCTCATGCTTCTTTGTCGCTGAAGCTTCTGACAGTTGCAACATAGAATTGCTGTGGAGGCCTCCTCTTTAACCCAGGTTGTATGGGCTTTCCACAGAAATTCTGCCTGTACACCTGCAAGTTGTTACCAAACATGGGGCACTGTTCATCATGTAAAAACTTCCAGTCATGGCAAACTGCAGGAATGGAGCCAGCAGGTAGAAGCTATGCCATAAAGACAAGTTTAGAATAATTGCAAGAGAAAGGATAAAAAATGTAAGAGGGGAGCAAGATACCAAGGAAAAAAGAACCATCTAGAACTTAAAATAAAAAAGCATTTGGACAAAACTCAGGTTAATGTGCAGATAGAACATTGTTAAATAAAAGAAACCAGAAAGTAGTATAAGGAAAGTGGGGTATGTTTTCGCTTTTCTGTTGGTGATAGAACTGGCAATTTAAAGAGGAGAGATTTAATTCTGCTCATGATTTCAGAGATTTCAATGATCACTTGGCTCAAAGGCAGAATCATGGCAGGAGGGCCTGCTCAAATTTGCTATAAAAATCTATGTGCTAAATCATAATCCTTCATTTATTTCCTGCATCTTCTGTTTTCTCCCAAATGCCACTCAATTATTTTAAAGACCTTGTCAGATCTTGTCTCTGGGCTATCTGTGGGTCTTTCTGTTGTCAAGTGTCCTTTTATTTTGTTTTTCAGTGATGTGGTCCTGTCTTTTAGCCTGCCTAGGGTTTTTCATTGGTTGTCATACACACTGCATTAGAAATTGTGGAGGTCTAGTTTGTGGCTTTCTTTGCCAGCTGGATAGTGTGGTGGTGGTGGTGGTGGTGGTGGTGGTCGTCCTTCTTTCACCTCTTCCTTTTCTTCCTCCTCTGCCTCCTCCTTCTTCCTCTCCCCCTTCATCTCTTTCAAGGGTTTGTGTAGCTCAGGTGGAAATTGCTGGAGTAGTTGGAGTAGAGATAGTGAGGTAAGCTGTGTTTGGGTGAGGGATAGAGCGGAGGGGAGGGGAGAGCTGAGGCATAGATGCAGCAGAGGCTCCCAGGGGATCAGAGGACTCAGTCCCCATACCAGAGATCAGGGATGTGCTGGCATCCTGTTTCTGGTAGGTCACTAGACTTTTAAATATGTGTTGTGTTTGTCTTCTGTTTGATTTTAGAGTATTTAATTCTTTTTTAAGAAGGTTGGGATGGGAATGGCCAACCACATAGCAGAAGTTTTCTAGGGACCCTTAAAATGCTAACAGATAAGCAACAGAGTAAATGACTTCTGAGAGTTTACTCATTGTTTATGGGGAGAGATGAGGAAATTTAGATTTGTGAGAATTGTTGCAGAGGCCTATAGGGTATGATTTAAGCTGGTGGTGGTTAATTTTTGAGTAAACATTTTTTAGAGCATTCTAACTGGCATCTTGGTATCTAAGCTATATCCTGGCAGCCCTGGTAGGTGAGTTGAGGGCAGCTCCACAACCTATGTGGGCCTCAAAGTCTGGTCTCGAGGGGTCTCTCAGTCAGCCCACAGAACACTGATGGAAACTGCTGCCCTGGCTTTCCAGTGGCAATTTTAGGTCTGTTTCAAGTGGAATCTGCCTGGCTGCAAAATGAGCTGATAAAAGATTTGGCCACACACACTCTTTTCTTACTAGTTAGAGGAGGCAGTGGGAAAGTGAGAATCCAGGTGGGAAACCCACAACGGCTCCTGCTGAGGTAGAGGAGAATCAGTTTCAAGAACCAAGAAAAGCAACTCATCTGAGAACTGAGCATTTGTAGGGATTCCTGTGGGCCACTGGTGATGACCTCTTAACAGGGCATCCCAGCTGGAGGAGCTGTGTGCTCCAGGGATTTTGACAACCTTCAAATAAAACCTGCCCATGAGCTGGTGTGTAGCTCAGTGCTAGTGTCCAGCTGTCATGGGAGAGCCTTGCATTCAAGCCTCAGCACTGCAGAAAATAGAAAACCCACTCACAGAGATATTCCCTGCCCTGCTCCTGATTTTCAGCTGACTCTCAAGATTTCCTCATTTTGGTTGCTGGGAGTTATGGTACACTTAAATTTCCTGGTCCATGTGCTCTCAGAAACACTTTCTTTGGGCTTCCTCAGCATGGTTTCTTTTGAAAACTACTGTTTCTGTTCAAGTTTATTTTTAGATTCCAGAAGAAAGGAATAGAGACATACAGCCTCTCCCAAGTAGTTGTGACACAATCAAGCTAGCAAGCCTGAGTTGGCTCTGTGTCTTCAGTATAAAGAAGGCTTTCTCATGCCCTTGCTGTCACACAAGGATCATCTCTGGTATGGTGATGCAGGGGCAGGCAGAGGGGTAGAAGTCTCACAGGCCCCTGGCTCTGAGTAGGACTGGGCAAGTGATGGGCTCCTTCTGCTGGTGAGCACCCTGGGGGCAGGATTCTGACTAGAGCACTTCAGTGTGTTTAATATTTCTGTTGTGTTCTTAGTAAGGATTATTAATAGCTGTGGTTTCTATTAGTAAAGACCACCTTGCTTTTGTGTGGACCCTGTTGGTTTTTCCATTTCTGTGTGTCTGTAGGGCCAGTTAGAGCCACTTCAGGAAGAATCTTGAAGCTGAATAACATTGACAGCCTGGGACTGACTAATGACCCTGAATTGGGAGAATTGGGTTAGAACTTCACAATATGAAGAAGCCTGAAGTGAATTTAGAATTTTTATTTTATTTTATTTTATTTTATTTTATTCATTCATTTATTTATTTATTTATTTTTGTGCTGAAAATCAAACTCACAACCTTGTACTTGCCAGGCAGGTTCTGTGCCTCTGAGCTGTATCCCTGGCCTAATTTAGAATTTTTAAATACAGTAGTGCTTAAGAATAAAAAATTAGCCACATGTAGTGGCACACATCTGTAAACCCAGCACTCAGAAGGCTGAGGCAGAGGATAGCCGTGAGTTTGAGGCTAGCCTGGGCTACATAGTGAGTTCAAGGTCAGCCTGAACTGCACAGTGAGACTTTGTCTCAAAAGCTTTAAAAAAAAAAAAGAATTATTAGCTTCTAATTGAAAATAAGCAATATTGTGGCTATGTCTTTGGAATACATGGCCTTAAAACACTTACTGTCTCACTAACAAGAAGCAGAAATGGGTTGTGGGATGATCCAGGCTAGATTTGAATGATGGTTCTTTCATACTCTGGAGGTAAAGCCAGATATAGGACCTAGCACATGGTACTTTTAGCACTCTTACAATTCTTGCTAAGTAGTAAATCATGTGGTTAGAATCTGGAATGAAACTTCCAGAAGCATTGGAGGCTTCCTTAATCTAGCTTGGATTCTTTTAAAAATATTTTTTTGGTTTTGTGATTATTTATTTTGCTATTCTTATTTTGATGCTGAGGATTAACCAAGGGCCTCACAGGTGGTAAGCATGCACTCTGTTGACACCCATAGCCTCTTGCTTTGGCTCTTCTTGACAGTAGACTTATAACTCAGTTTGTGAAATTTTTTCCAGAGGTAGAAAGTTCTAAACATTTGATTAGAGGTTTAAAAGAGATGATTATGGCCATGCACATTGGCACAGTGTTACTGGAGAGGTTGAGGCAAGAAGATCAGAAATTGAAGGCCAGCCTGGGCAAATTAATGAGACCCAATCTCAAGGTAAAAAGGGCTGGGGTATAGCACAATGCAAGGGCCTGGGTTGAGTCCCCACCATCCCACCCCTACAAGAATTGACTGTGGTTGTGACCAATCAAAATTCTGAGGAAAAAACAGCTAGAGATGAACTGTGAAGGACACAGAGTGCCATCATGGTCTGTAAGTTAGTGTGTGGAGTTCTGGAGACAATGGTAAGAGCAGTATGTTTGTGAGAGCTCTGGTTATAAGATCACCTCACACTTTCATTGATGATATCCCATTGTGCTGTGTGTGTTTTCCTTCAGCTGGTTTCCCCATGGGCTATGCAGCAGCAGCTCCTGCTTATTCTCCTAACATGTATCCTGGAGCGAATCCTACCTTCCAAACAGGTATGTGCTGTGAAACCAGGTGCATTGTACATGCAACTAGGGGAGAAAATGAAGGGGGTAGGCTTTGAGAAGAGGGGGTATATATAGACTTAGGATTTGGCCTTGAGTAGATCTCTCATTTCATAAAATTGGCTTGTTGATAAGGGGGAAAAAGAGTATAATTCTTACTGCACATGAAGCTTCAGGTACTCTAGATTGTCCCACCATACATATCTTTGGTCGAATCACTAGGTTGTGACAAGTCAACTCCATGTGCCAGGACTTCTGTTCATGCAGTAGAGTTGACTACTAGAAACTGAAAGCCATCTTACTGATTTCTGTACAGTAGTTTAGCACATCGTTACATTTTTAAAAGAAAGTCTTGTTTCCCTTATAGGGTACTTGAGGATATTTTTAGATTTTAGAAGTTACTGCTCAAATTGAATTGGTTTGGGTCTGAATTTTGTAAAGATTATTTAGCGGAGAGTTCCTCCAGTGAGCCTGCATACATTGTTAGCTTGTTTTAGGCTTTATTCACTCATTGGATTTCGTAATTCCTTTGCAGTTTTGGTGGACCATGGTTTGATGTAAGGTCTTGGCTTGCCTTCCTCAGTGGGTAGGGATGGTGCGTTACAAGACTGCAGGAGTATTTAACTTTGACAGAAGAGGAGACATCCTTCCCCTTTGTGACTCATAAAATTCTGCCTTTGTATTTTATCGCTGTGTCCATCTTTCCTATCTCTATTGTGACACCTTTCTTCAGCCCTTAGTTTATATTTAGAGACAAACCTGGTGTGATCTTCCTGCTCCCATGCCTTCTGTCCTGAGTTTATGTTCATGCACATTTCAGCTGGAGTAATTGAGGGAACTACTTCTTTCTTTCCCATCATTGTAAGACACAGTTAAGCCAGGAGTTTTGATTTGAACTGCTTTGACACAATGGTCTCTCGTTTCCTTTCCAGAATGGGTTTTCTTTTGTATCCTTGTCTAGCTTAGGGAGGGGGCACAGTTTCCCTTTGGCTCAACTGGACTGCCTCCTGTTGTGCCTGTCTATATGTCTGAAGTCAGTGGTGGTTAATTAGCAGGCTGTTATGTACTGGGTGCTCTTGTGCCAGCCACCCATGTCCTTTTAAGACGTCTCCCATTGTTCACTCTTTTGTCAGCTGTCTTGATTTACTGCATGTATTTACAGTGTACTGTTTGATAGCCTTTCCTGTGAAGGGATATGGCCAGCACAGTTGGGAACATAGCCATCATTGGCATATTTTGAGTTTTTGTCTGCCTATTTCTAAGTCTCCCATGTGCCAAGGAATTGCTGCTCTGATTTTTCTGCTATTGATGAGTTTATGTTTTCTAAAATGTTTGTGTGAATGGATTCATATAGAATGTCCCTTTTTTGGACTGGCTTTTTTCATTTGGCAAAATTACTTTGACATCTGTCTTTTATGTATTTGCTGTTTCATTCCTTTTAATTGTTAGGGCATGTCCCACTGTATGGAAGAACTGCTTTGCTTATCCATTTGTCAGGTAGTGAACTTTAGGGTTATTTGCAGTTTTGTTGTACTATAAATGAAATTGCAATGAATATCATGTACAGTACCAGTCTTTATATGGACGTATGCTCCCATTTCTCCAGTAAATGCAAAGGAGTGGAGTGATGGGTTCTTAAGGCAGGTGTATGTATTTAATTTTGTAAGAAACTGCCAAATTATCTTTCAGAGTAGTTGTGCCATTTTACATTTGCCTTAGTACTGTATTTGAGAGATTTGGTTCTTCTACATCCTTAACACATTGCTGTGATCAGTTCTTTAAAGTTTAGCTGTTTTGATGGATGCGAAATGTATCATGGTAGTTTTAATTTGCATTTTCATAATAACTTATGGTAATTGATCATCTTTTCATTTGCTTTTTTTGCCATTTGTCTCTCTTTGTTAGGGTTTGCATATGTCTTTATTGTGTCAGTTACAGAGGGTTTTTTTTTTAAGGCAGTAGGTAATTCATTTTTATTATTTGTTTTTAACTTTTAAAAAAATGTTTTAAGAGAGACAATCTTTTTATGTTGCCTGGGCTGGTCTATGCTGATCTTTATGCCTCAGCCTCCTGAGAATTCTGAGGCATGAAGATCAGCACCCTCATCTTACCCAGGACCTAAATTATTTTTTTATTGTTGAGTTTTGAGAGTGCTTTATCCACTAAGTGAGCTGTAGAGGTTTTCTCCCAATTTGTACATTTTTTAAAAAACTCTTTTAATGGAGTCTTTCAGAGAAGAGGACTTTTTAAAATTTGTTGAGGTTTAGTTTATTATTATTTTAAATCATGATCTTGAGATCCTTTCTGAGAAATCTTCCTACCCAGCTTCAAAATGATTTTCTTCTTTTTTTCCTTCTAGAAGTTTCATAGTTTAGGTTGTACCTTTAGGTGTGTGGCCTGTTTGGGGTTAATTTTTGTATGTAGTGCTTGTGGTAGATTGACAACTGGTGGTCAGCTTATAACCCCCAGCTGAACTGAGTAAGCGTGGTGCTGGGTGTGGGAGGCCCACCTGAGGATTTTTGCCAGCAGCATAAGAGGCAGAACTGGACAAGAAGAAAGGCTGTTGGGAGCTGGTAGAAGCTGTAAGGAGCTGTTAGTTCTGTTGGAGGAGCTTGTCATGCTGGCTTTCCTGGTAAGTTAGCTGTTTTCATCCTTCAAGGAGCTCAGGATCTCGTTGTTGCTGAGAATAGCTTAGGTTCACTTTGGGGGAGCTCTAGTTCTCACTTTGAGTGTTGCTTCCTGGCTCCAGAGGGGAAGATGGTGCACTGTTCAGTCTCCTGGAGAAGCTTGTTGTGTTGACTTTCCTGATGGGAACTCAGCTGTCTTCATCCTTTGAGGAGCTTGGGACCTCACTGTTGCTGAGGATGGCTGTGGTACTTTTTGGGCGAGCCCTGGTTTTTATTTTGCGTATTGCTTCCTGGCTTCAGTGTACATCCCTCAGCCTGCTAGCAGACTTCCTAGATTCCACCACTGACCTTTGGGCTATCCCAGCATAGATCCGTGAAACAGGCCTGTGTGAGATATTGTTAGGGGCTCTGGGCCTCCAATTGGACTTGTGGGAGGCATTGTTGTGAGCTCTAGATCTTCAGCTGGACTCATGCAGGACATTTCCATGGGATCCAGGCCCTTGGCTAGATTCCTTGGTCCTAGTGTGTGGACAGATTTCCTGCATTCTTTTGTATATCATTATTTGGGTGACTATTACAAATAGTCTTACAAATTATGTGTCCTGTATTATATTGTTTCCCCATGCAGATAACCCCCAAACCACAACAGTGCTAGATCAGAGTGAAGTTTATTTTTGTGTGTTCATGCTACACATGATTATGCTGCAGACCACCATAAAATAAGTTACTTTTCTAGAGTTTTCAAAAGTAGCTAGCTCGCTTGTACTATTTTTCTGATGGAGGACAAGTTAAAGGAAGAATGTATGGTTAAAAACTTCCAACTCACTTTTATCATATAACAAAAAGTACCTCAGATTTACTGAAGGCTGACCCAGTTGTTCTTGCCAGAAGTGTGTAGCCCTTCGCTGTACAGGAGTAGCTCTGGTGTGTGGAGGCTGTTGGCCTCTCAGGATGGACATCACCCACCTTCTCTTACAGCTTTCCTCTCAGGGAGATGAGTCCTTTCTTGGTTCTTTTCCATGTCTGCTCTTAAATGGGTCCCCTAACCTGGAGCTGGGTCAGGCAGGTAGGCAGTGCAGCTGCCTAAAGGCCTGCCTTGAGATGACTCTTACCATTGATGGGTGCCAGACAGTTGTTGGCTGTTTGGGCCTAGTAGTACCAGAATTTTTTTTTTTTTTTTTTGAGATGCTGGAAATAAAGACTTTAATGTGAAATTGGTGAATGAAAAGAGATGAGCTGGAGATGTAGCTCAGTGGTAGTGTGCATACCTAGCATGCATAAGGACCTGGGTTCAGTCCCCAGCACCACCAAAAAAGATGCTTTGACGATCCTGTCAGTGACTCAAAGTCCTGTTAGCTATCTCCCCTGAGTCTGGGACACAGCTATACTCTGATCTTTGGAGGGATTTTTTTTTTTTTTTTGTCTTTTTTGAGACAGAGTTTCACTGTGTAGTTCAGGCTGGCTTGCACTCACTTTGTAGCCCAGGCTGGCCTCAAAGTCACAGCAATCCTCCTGCCTCAGCCTCCCAAGTGCTGGGATTACAGGCTTGCATGACTGAGCCCAGCTGGAGTTTTTGAGAATGTTTTAAGTTCCCTTTTCAGTGGATCTTTTTTCTTATTGACAGGCAAGCCAGTCATCACTATGAAAACATTAAGAAAATTTTTTACCATTACTTTTGCTATCTTGATACACTTTCTGATTCTCTTAATCATTAGATTTGTAGACAGAGCTGATCTTGGTACAGGTGCTGTATTTGTGGATTTTTGCTTTCAGGGTGCTTTTATAATCCCTAGTGCTGTTCACTTTTTAGCTCCTCTTCCAAGTGTAACAGAGGGTTCAGAATACCTTGTGCTGAAGTGTAATTTTTGCTATACTTCAGCACCAGAGGGTTCTGTTACGTGAAGTTTGGAAGGGGAGAAATCATCCTTTGTTTCGTTCTGCTGAACAAATGTACTAGGCTGTATACCCATGCAGCCAGAGTGGTCTTTCTCATTTTTGGAATCAGAGTTTGGGCTGTGAGTTGACTGGGTGGCTTATCTCCTGGCCATGTTGTTTGACTTTATTGTAGACATGTATATAATAAACAGATCATATACATGTAGACATGTATATAATAAACAGATCTTTCCTTGGCTGTGTTATTGGGCAGTTATAGCCCAGGGTTCATGCTCATGACCAGATGTTAACAGGGCAGACTCAGGCCCTCAGCTAGCACATTTCAGGCCTCGGTCTGGTTCTGCTTATGGCCAACAGCACCTGTACCTGATATTTGCAATGATTATCTGATATCACGTAGTAAGCTCTGTAAGGTAGTTTTGAAAAAGGTGAAATGTGCATAGGATGATATCTTAAGGTACTAATCAT